TCATTTCTCACCCCATTCACGGTAAATCAATGTGCGGCTCGACGGCCACAATGAATGCTGTCCATGATTTCAGACCGATGGAGAGTCCATCGTCCTCAGCCAGGTCACCTGAGGATGAGCTCATCTTCGAGAAAGTCGGCCAAGGTCAAGCAATGGGTCAAGAACCGGATGAAGGAGGTAAGTCGCTCTCTGCTGCGTTTTTGCTATCATTTGAACCATAACTCTTTTCCACTTCGCATTCGAGGGTTTACGCTGTCGCATTGCACTGACGGTATAAACCGGGAATTTGCATACATTTGCAAATTCTGCCCTCCATTACCAATTGCATAATCAATGGTTTTTTCCATGTTTTTCGGTCATTTTTCGCAACACATTCCAAATTCGATTTTACTTTAACCACACTTGTTGAACTCATATTCCAACAATAAAACGGAATGTAATTCCTTGAAAGCCGTTGAAGCATTTTATTTGCACACATTAAGGCGCGATTACGCAAAGTTGGGTTTCAAAGGCAGAGCCCACTTTTACTTTTGATTATCTAACATAAGTTCTTTGTAAGAAAATAAAGAATGGACTACAACGAACAACCCGTATAAGCTTTACGTCAGAAAGTGGTAAGGTAGCAGCGGTAAGGCACAAGGTTGCTCAAGTGACTCCGCCCACCTTGATAGATGTCTTATCTGCTGTCTTGCTCGTTTGCATACTCTTTCGCCACATTCTCTGGGTTCTCGCCCTGTATCCTTATGGGCTCTTTATCTCTCGTTTGCTCAATGAAACTATTACTACTACTCATTTGGAGCGTTCCCAAGGGTTCCCTCGCATTTATCATCCTTACGAGCGGGTCAGCTAGCACATACAATTCTGTTCCTAACCCGCTATCAACCAACTCTTCGTTGGCTCATTGCGAATTCCGCCTCTACCTTTGGCATCACGCCCGTTTAGCTTTCTAGTTATTCTTGTAAGACGCGAAAATGGGATCTTTGCGCATAAAGAGCTACATTTATCGGCGAGTGCATTTCTGTACGTTCTCAAACCCCCACTGGAGGGTGCAAAACCTGGAGCGTATATGTTGAATAGACGGGGAAGTTAAACCCATGAGAAGCTGACGTTCGACCCAAACGAACCCATGAAAACGAACCCATGAGTGTTTTCAGCAAATAGCGCGCCTAAAGCGACTTGGCAAGGTTCAACCTTTCTTCGACCTCGCCGTGAAATCCGATCCTCCTCTAAGTGCCACTACAGCCAGTGATCTCTGCCCCTCTGCGACCCAGTCTTGGGCAGAAGGAGGGCAGTGTTGACGTTTTCTCGTGATCAGTAGCGGCATGGTAGTAGCTAACTCGTTCATAACCAACCTAGAATCAAGGACAGAAATGGAGATCTCATTCCTTTGGTTTTATCATTTTATTTTTCTTCACCCCATCATTCTGTCCATCTATTTTTGCTCACGACCCCTCAACCAAATGAATCTACCTACACTATTTACTTCATGAAGGTTTAATGGTATCAAGCCACTTAACTAGCTCTGATTGCATGTAGTTCAGAACATCCACGAAACACGCGACATCGCGCGCAGACCAGCTATTAACGCTGGCTAGTTGACTCAACAAATCACGTTCTGCGTCAAGTCAACAGTGGCTGCCGACGTTCTTAATCGTG